ATCAAACCAATTAGAAACAAATTTGAGAGACGTAGTGTGGTCGTTTGAAAGAATAGAATATGAATGGCAAGCTGATCTTGCTGAAGTCAAAGATTATAAATATATTCTAACTTTAGACAATCATAATTAATTTCTTGCCAGTTTTATAAAAAAATTCTGAACCTATAAACTTGAAAATTCTGAGGTCGACGTTAGGAATAGTGATAATGGTTTTATAAAGGCAACTGAATATCTTGCTAGGGAGAATCATATTAAAGAAACAAAAAGTGAACGGCTATAAATTTATTCCTAAATGAAAGTCCTTAAAATGTTTATTATGATCGGGAAAGAGGGCGTTCTGAATTAAATGATCTTCGAAGAAAGTCCAACAAGTCAATTATAGAAGTAAACAGTTTGCTCATAAAAAAGATATATATACAAGATCCAACCAATTAGAAACCAATTTGAGAGACGTAGTGTGGTCGTTTGAAAGAATAGAATATTAATGGCAAGCTGATCTTGCTGAAGTCAAAGATTATAAATATATTCTAACTTTTAAAGATATATTATCTAAATATGCATGGGTAATACCATTAAAAAACAAAACAGGTTAACAAACAACACAGGCTTTCATTGAAATATTTTAGTCAAATAGAATACTCAAAAAGGTAGAAGTAGATCAAGGACTGGAGTTTTATAATAGTAAAGTACTGGGATTGTTTCAGGATAAAGAAATTACACTTTTTAGTACTTATTCATAACTTAAGGTCTTTGTTGTGGAAAGATTCAAGAGGATATTAAAATATAAATTGGAAAACGTTCATGATCCGCGGGATTTAGATAAAGAAGTTAAAAAGTATAATGCATCCTATCATCGATATATTAAAATGATTTCGACCGAAGCCCCAACAAAAAAAAAGGAAGAAGTCAGAGAAAAATTTGTATTCTCCACCAAATAGTAATAAAAAGCCGTAATTCAAAGTTGGTGATACTGTGAGATTACGAAAATATAAAGTGTTTTTTTGAAAACGGGTATCAACAGAATTATACAACCGGAGACTTTCGAATAAAGGAAGCTTTAAGCGAAGATTACCATCTAGTTGACCTGACGGGAGTATATAAATTGGGTACGAGTTATGGACAATATATTCTTTTATGACGAAACTAATCCCTGAAGAGGGGGACATTTTATCGGTCGCTCACCAGTCACCTAGCTGTGTTTGCAGATTTGTGTTTGTCCTTTGTCTCTCTTGTTCCCCTTCTCCAGGGATTATTTTCGTCATTCTTGTCGAGCTCGCTTGCACCTTTGCATTTAATTGCACAATAACAATATTCTCTTATATTTTTTATAACGGCCAGATGTCTTAAAAGCTTTGAAGCGGTCAAAGCTGGGGAATGGGGGATAGTCGAGAACTCTCATTTTCTATACTACTCCTTTAAATTGGGTGAGTAAACCGTAAGAAAGTGGGAGAGAGAGGGGAAAAGAGGGGTAGGCAAGTGGAGCTAGATTGAGAGGAAGGGAAACTGAGAAAAATAATGCAGACGAGGAGGACACTTTAGGAAAAGGGAGGAATGGGGAGAGAAAGGGAGGGGGAGATAGATGTGGAGTGGGAATGTGTGTCAGGTGAGGTATATTTCTGCACGAAAATCAATGGTGAACTGGGTTGGTCTGTCACATGACCACGAAGGGTGGGGAGGACAGGGTATTGCAGGAGAATGAGGGAGGAATGGGCAGAAAGAGGGAGGGGGACGTAAATAATTTAAAAAAGGTGGGGAGGGAGGGAAAGGAGAGCGAGGGGAAAAGACGCACGTGTGGACACCTAAAGAGGGACGGGGGAGGATGGTGAAAGAAAGAAAAGGGGTAGAGAAGAGAAGGATGGGGAAGGGGGGAATCGGTGTGTCACGTGACGTATATTTCCCCGCCAAATTTAACTTTGTAGGACGAGGGGACATATTAGCGACTCCAGCAAAACGGACGCCACCAAGCGGGAAAACCGAGAAACAGCCGGACCAGGTCGCTCCGCGCCCCTCCGCATCTGGTGGCTTTCGCGGACACGTGTTGTCGGCGCGGTGGCGAACAATGTAATTTGAGGAAGGTCTGAAAATTTCTTAAGTTTGCCTGAGTGTTCATTAGTGCGGTGAAGCCTCAGTAGATCGTTTCCTTCCATCACGTGTTTGCAAGCCCGTTTACTCCACAACACACGGTCGCGTGCTTTCGACTTCTTGGATGGGGAGGAATCACGGAAAAATGTTTTGATTTCTTGTCTGTCTCGAATCACAATCAAACTGACGACCACTTGGTAACTGATAAGTGGTTTCTTTATAAGGATGTAGAGCAGTGGACTGAGGACGACAGACGAGCTGTTTCACTGGAGGGTAAACCAATGTTGCAGTCAGGCGAATGGAGAGGCTCGATAGCTGCTTTTCTTGAGCTTGGTTGTGTTCGATTAGCTTAATGTTTGAGCCACCCACGCCGGTCAGTGCGTTGGGTATTCATCTTGGCTGCTTTTCGCCGAAAAAGCCTTTGTACCACACTGAAGGAGTTGGGCTAACTTTGCAATTACTTGATTTAGGAAAACCTGCTCACTGCATATGATTAATGAGAGAAATTATCTGCTTTCAAAAGGTGGGGGTCGCCTCTTGTAAAGTAAGAAGCTGTCACGGCGTTATGATCTATCGCGCCTCCAATATTTATATTATATTCCCGTCGAAGCCACCAGCAATGTACGTCTACATTGCTCAGGTTGACCGGCCACAAAAAAATACCCCTTTTCTCTGTTCACGATTCGAAGTCAAGTTCAATGCATAGAAGTTCTGCGTGAATCTCCGATGAAGACCCTCTTCAGTTTGTCCGCAATCGTCTACATGCTACCGGCTAGAACCATTTGGCTAAGTTTAAGTAGTAGCTCTCTGTCTGTCAAATATATTTTTATTCAACGGCTCATTTAATAGCTAGTCAACTAAGCTTATATTTCAACCCGAATAATACTCTAATATCGCTTTAGTTGGACGTGGTACGTAATATAAAACATAACCCGCTCGTCAAAATGTTTTCTTGATTGCTACTAAAACCTGAATCCGAATACGAGTATTAGCTGCTTAGTGGGGCGCCCGCGGGTTAACATGCTCCTTGGCTCAAGAAGCGCTTGCTTAATTTTCGTAATTTTCCTGCAGCCTGTGTTGTTGACCGAGCAGACGACTGGAAAACGCGGACACTCACAAAAGCTCGATTTCGCAGACAGATAAGTCGGATGGTCGAGGCATGCGAGTTAGCTGAAAATTACTCTCGGTAAAACAATTCTGAAGTCACCGCTGCTTTCCTTAGATTATCAAAACTGGTTAGCGTCTATTACCATCTCTCCAGAGCCCATAGTTTCGGTTTTGAGTGAAATCTCCGAAACGAAAGTTTGACATGAAAGGACAAAAGACACCGGGAAAACAAAACTATGCTCTTTAAGTTTATGTGCACCGGCTACACTTAACCGTCTCAGTTCAAATACCCATAAAATCGGGCATTAAATAAAAGAAAATCTGTTAAATTGAATGCGTCACTCTTTCAGGCGGCCCGGCCGAGCCGACGCGACCTGGACTCAGCCGCCATGTTTGTTTGGTGGTGGCGCCCCCTATAGATCGCTGGAGTCGCGAATATGTCCCACATTTTAGCTCTGTGAATCTGGTTTCGGAGGAGCAAGGAGGGGGAGAAAAAGTGGGAAGGAAGAGAGGGTATCGTAGGAGAGTGGTGAGGGGTGGGGAGAGAGAAAGAGGGGGTACGTATTAACAGAAGGTGGGGAGGCAGGGCAAATGAGGGAAGAGAGTCAGATGGTGGGACACTCTAGAGGGGGAAATGGGGAGAGAAAGGGAGGGGGAAGTGAGGTGGAGGGTTGGGGAGAGGGAACGGGTGTCTCACGTGACGTACATGTTTCCGACAAAAAGCGGAAACTGGATTGTTTATTTCAAGACAACTATCTAAATTTAGGGATGAAACTGAATTTACGTATAGGTCACGTGACTTCAATTCCTCGTGAAAATTATTGGAAATTGCACGAACGAACGGACGACCGGATGATAAAATACTAGGGTTCATAGTTCCGTTAAAAAATAATTTCATGCTTGAATATCGCGCTGTTCTGAAATTACGGCTCGCGAAGTTGTTGAATGATTATTCGCCTTTGAATGAGTCTCAGTCACATAAAATTGAAAAAATGGCTGTCGCACTAACCGGTGGGCAGATCCTATAAAAGTAGCTTGTGCTTGAGTAATGTTTTATACTCAATTCTACGCTTCATTGCATACAAAAGACATTCGACTGAAATTGGTTTCTATACGTGCACTAACTCACGCTTTTCGAAGTCTAATTTAGTGCATGGTGCTAAGTGGTGCCGCATAAATTTCAATGATGTGTAAGAACTAAGGATTCATTAAATTAACTCCTCAAGTAAGCCGTCCAGATGCACTTTATAACTATTTGTTCTGCTGCAGGCTGGCCGCCAATAAAAAATATTGGCGGCCAGCCTACAGCAGAACAAATGAAGGTCCTCTTCAGATGATCATGTCATCTAGTTGCGACTGATACAATTATCCGAATAAACCACTGCTTGGGCACACACGCTGAGCATGTTTCGGAAGCAAAAGCTGCATCAGTGTTCGACGTGAATGCAGCTCAGCTCGTGTCAAGAATTTTGCTTCAATGTGTTTGGCACAGGACTTATTGTTCCATGAATGTTTTCTTTCTTCCTTCTTAGGACTCGGGAGAAGAAAGCTTGTGTATCCACGTTTGATAGAGTCTCGAAATTATGGCAATCAGCTAACGTTGTTTATCAATGGAGACATTACTCTATCACTGGAACCAGCCGATATCTTTCCGGAGAAGTTTTTGTTCCGGTATGACGAAAACGGGAACCCGGTGAAACAATATGTGAGTGTTTTTTTTTTTTTTCATCTTGCAGCATAAAGTCTAAAGAAGCCGGAAGAACACAGAGTTGAATCAAGTTTTCTTCCCCGTTTCAGATGAATGGAACGGAGCTTAACAAAATGGTATATCATGACACGGATCAAAGGGCGGCCGTATCTGTCGAAAGAGATAATGGACTCCGCGTGGTAAGGACCAATAATTCCTTCGAATATTTTCAAAGTGCATTCGTGAAACGTCGCGACATGGAATTAAGCTGAGCGTTACCATCCTCTAAGACGAGATGCAGAAAGCGCCAAAAATGCAGAAAGTTATTTTACAAAATTGCTACTTACTTTTATAGAATAGTGAATGAAAGTAAGACAGCAAGTGTACCTAAATACATAGATATAGAAAAAAAAAACTTCTGGTATATAATCCTTGCGAACCTAAGCAATAAAAAAATGTGGTGTCCTCTTTTCTTTTGCAAATATATATATATATATATATATATATATATATATATATATATATATATATATATATATACATAACTGAGAAGAAAAGAAAACCCTTTGTGAAAATAGCACCAACGTACGGATTATTCTTCGACGTTTCGGCCGGAGTCCGGCCTTTGACATCATGCCCCGTCGTGTATATATATATATATATATATATATATATCTCGCTGCGGGAGTCTCAGTTCATAGGCTAAACGGGCAACTCCGAATTCAATTCTCCGTTCTCCACACGACCTCGTCTCCTTCTCCTTTTCTTCCTTTTACTTGTCCGTTACACTCGCCCCTCCCTGTTTAAAAGTCCGTCCTGGACGATGCTAAGATAGCCACCACGTGTGACATAAAGTTTCAGATGGCTTTAATGGGCTGTCAAAGTGCGGCGTCGCCCACGCTGAGGCAGGGTGTCAAGGTGTTCGAGACGGTATGTTACGGGTCCAAGTTGCCTCCTGATCTTAAAAGGTCCACAGTACCTCGGCAAACGCTTTTCCGAGCGCTGTGAACATCTTAGGTTCCTTCGAAGAAGCACCACATCACCTGGTGAAAACGACGGCAATGAGGTGTCTCTGTTGTGACGTTCAGCCAACTTTGATTGGTTATTTAGAATTGCCAGCCGAGCCAGTTTTCTGACTTCACTTAGTCGTTCAGCGAAGTTCTCTTCATACTCTCGCGCCCGACGGGTCCATGCAGCGCCCATCGATGATTCCTGCGGAAGCGTCGGGAGTCTTCCGCAAACAAGCTCAAATGGAGATTTGGCGGTAACTTCGTGTTGTGAAGTGTTCAAAGCGAACGCCGCTGTATCAATGAACGTGTCCCAGTTCTTGGGAGATTTATTGACGAACGCAGCTAATATGTCTCCAACGCTGCGGTTGGTACGTCCTACTAGGCCATTCGTTTGAGGATGGTAGGGTGAAGCGTCCGCATGCTCAATTCCGTAATCTCGCAAAGCACAACTGAAAGTACGGGACATAAATGACGTTCCCCTGTCAAATATTATTCGGCGGGGTGTACCATGCCTAAATACAAGGTGTTTGTTGACAAAGGCGACGAGATGCACAGCTGAAGTATCGGGGACCGCCTCCACTTCAACCCACTTCGACAGGTAGTCCGTTGCGACAATGACGTACTTGTCTCCATCATCAGATCTTGAAAACGGCCCCAAGTGATCAATTCCAACTACCTCAAACGGGCTGCCTGGAGGTGGTACTTGCTGTTGCCCGGTCTTCGCCGGGTGCGGTGGTGTTTTCCGCAGTTGGCCTGTTGCGCAAGACGCGACGCACTGTCGGACATCCGTCCTGAGGTGCGGCCACCAAAATCTCTTGGCGACTTTGTCGAGCGTCCGGTGTTGCCCGAGATGACCCGCAGTTGGAGCATCATGGCACATCTCAAGAATGTTCCGACGGATTTTGGGGGGAACTACGGGGAGCCAAGCTCCTGAGGGATGTGCTCGATGACACAGCAGACCGTCCCGAAGCTGGTAGTACGTTCGTAGACGCCATAAGTGACGTTCTGAAAGTTGCGGTCTCCCGTTCACTTCGTCAGAAAGCAACAGGATTATGTTGAATGTGTCACATTCCTCTGCTTGCGCTGACTGCAAATCTAAGAGTGCGAGTACAGGAGCAACTCTGGGGTCTTCGATGGGGTGCCATGAGAGGAAGTCGGCGTCTTGGTGCTGTTTCCCACTTCTATGAACGATCGAGAAGTCCAACTCTTGCAGTTTCATTGCCCACCGAGTCAATTTCGGATTTAGATCGTTTTTTGACTGAAGCCAACGGAGAGCAGAGTTATCTGTCACGACTGTAAAATGCTTTCCGCAGATGTATGGACGGAACTTTTCCACTGCCAAAACAACAGCAAGGCACACGAGTTCTGAAGAATGACATTGACTTTCTGGTTCGCTGAGTTTGCGGCTTGCGTATATGACGGGATGTTCTACTCCTGCATTGTCTCTCTGGAGAAGAACAGCGCCAAGCCCTTCGCCACTGGCATCACTGTGAATGAACGTCGGTGCTTCTTCTGAAAATTTAGCCGGGGTTGGTGGTTCAAGAAGTGCTCTTTTCATATCAGCAAAAGAAGCTTGTTCTTTTGCGCACCAACGCCACTTAGTGTCTTTTTTAAGAAGCTCAGTCGGTGGAGCAGCTCTGAGAGAGAAGTTTCTTACAAATCGACGAAAATAGGACGCAAAGCCTAAAAAGCTTTTCAACTTCTTCGCGGTAGTGGGCTCAGGAATAATGGCTAGCGCTGCCAGCGTGGTTGGATCCGGGCAAATACCCTCTTTGTTGACAACATGCCCTAGGTAAATGACTGTGTCGCATCCGAAGAAGCATTTCAATCGTTTCAGACGGAGATGTGCATTGGTGAGGGCATTCAGCACTAGACGCAGACGGTGCTGGTGTTCTTCAAAGGTGTCAGCGTATACGATGACATCATCAAGATAAACTAACGCCATCGTTCACTTCAGGTGTCCAAGCACCCTATCCATGAGGCGTTGGAAGGTCGCAGGTGCTTTGAAAAGTCCGAATGGAAGACGGTTAAACTGAAACAATCCGTCAGGAGTCACAAAGGCAGTTTTTTTCGGAATCTTTTGGCTCCAGCTCCACTTGCCAATATCTGGACACGAGTTCCAGAGTACTAAAGTAGCTGGCACCATGAAGGCGATCAAGGGCGTCATCAAGTCGTGGCAAAGGATACACGCCTGGTTTTGTTATGTTGTTAAGTTTCCGGTAGTCCACGCAGAATCTTGTAGAACCGTCTTTTTTCCTAACCAGGAGAACTGGTGACGACCAAGGACTGTTGGAGCTAGTTATAATGTCCCTTTGAAGCATGTCGTCTAACTGGTGGTTTATATCCTCCCGTTCTCTCATCGAAACACGTCTTGGATTGTGATGTACTGGAGCGTGATCACCAGTATTGATGGTGTGGCACACAAGTGGTGTGCACCCTAGCTCTTCTGGTGTATTAGCAATGCACTGCCGAAAGTCTAAGAGCAGCTCTTGTATCTGTGCCTTTTGTTGTTCTGTTAAGTTGTGGCCGAAATTAAATTCCGACTTCGGAAGGTCACTGGCTTTTTCAAGGCAATCTTGCGGGACAGACATCGTTGGTGCCGCACTAATTGTTGCTACAGTGGCATGTGAGAGGGCAAATGTCACAGGTCCAAAGTCTTCACCGGAGTTTAGGAGCAGGTCACCATTCGTCAGGTTTAAAACTGGAAGCATCAAACTCCCCTTCTCGCAGAAAACAATGCGGCGAGGTACAGCAAACTCCATCCCAAAACAAGATTGTAGCAGTGATTCAACTAGGATATCCCTTGACGTCACTGAACCTGGAATTATTGCTGTAGCCCAAACTGCAGATAACAAGGTACAACAATATGCGATGCTGCGACCATACGGAAGACTTTCTGTGGTTTTCGATTGACCATCGGTGCCATTATTGTAGACACAAATGTCGTAGCAGTTGCGCCGGTAGAACACACTTGGGCTGCGGCGGTCTTCGTCAGGTTTTTCAAGCTGGACCACGCTAGGACAAATCCATCGAATAAGCTCTCAAAATTCCAGGAAGTTGCTTCTTTGCTTCCCCCGCTATCTTCTTGGGGCAACTCGGTCGCAGGGCAACTGGACTGACTGCCAGTACTGAAAGTTGGTACGGCTGACAAACAATGTTCACCTCCTCGAAGCGATATAGAGAGCTGGACGTTTGAACACCAGTCACGGCCGAGTATCATTGACCATTGTAACTTCCGCACAATTACAAAAGGGAGGTTGACTGTTGTTCCTAAGGTTTCTACAGTCAACGAGATCTGTCCTTCTTGTTCGATTGTAGAACCGTCGGCTGATATAAGGCAGACGGTACCAGGAAGTGTTTTGGGCGTGGTATACTTCGCTGACTGCAGTAATGCATAATCAATTAGACTTACTGCAGCTCCGTTGTCCACGATAGTATTCACATGTTGTCCCAACTCATGAAGATGAACTGAAAGACATGGCGTTGGTGAGGTGCGCAGTGGCGTTGTCACCAGAGGAACATGATGCACTACATGAGACTCAACCTTGCCAGGCTCACTGTCATTTGAAACGTTTGGCGTTAGTATAGGTTGCGTTTTGTACGGGGCCAAGTGATTTTGGGCAGGATCGAGCTAAGTGCCCAATGTCACCACACGTGAAGCAACGACGTTCACTTAAACGTACCGGAGAAGATCGATGAGCCACCCGCGAAAGCTGGGTTTCAGATGTTGACACCATGTTCATTGCTTTGTTGGCTGCTTGAACTTCGAGTGCGCAAACCAGTGCTGCACGAGTCGTGGTTGGGTGGGCGAGTCGCACAAGAAGCTGGATGTCGGTGTCTTCGATTGCTTCAATGAAAGCAGTGGTTGCTATCTGCTCCACGTCGACTTCCGTACATCCGACGAGCGCTCTTCTCGCCATCCTCTGGATTACGTCAGCTAGCTCCTGGAGTGTGTCCATGCCTTGGCGGTGGTGCTTTAAAGCAGTCAGATGAAATTGCTGGAGATGTTCATCACCAAAGCGGGACTTTAGAGCTTCTATGAGTAGTTGATATGAGGAACGACTTGTGGCAGACATGCTCTCCAAACATTCAGCAGCGTTCTCCCTCAACTGAGCCACCATTGCACGAGCTCTGGACGTTGAGTCGAACCCGTAAACCTCTGCAACCGTTTCGAATAGGATGATGAAGGC